CCTCAGATGGACAGAATTATAAAAATCCCCACAGCATCCCCAAAGCACTGAATTAACTGGAGAAGGAGCTGTGTTTAATGTGATGGATGGAGCCCGCGGGCCCCATCGTGGGGACGTGGCCGTCAGGGCACCGGTACCTGCCACCGCTCCCCGCAGCACCTCCCTGGGAACATCAGACAGGATAATTACGTACTTAAATCTGGGTGCTTTACTACACAGAAATTCATCTGCTACCCTCAGAGTCCTTGAAGTTAAAGAGGGATTTGAGTTACTGACATAATTTGTTCCCTGAGGGCTGTGGAAAGCAGAGAGAAGAACATCTGAATAATAACTCTTCGACCATGTCTTGAATGGGAGTGAGCACTGCTTCAGAGTGAGACACAATGGGAAGCAAACGATTTCAAATGTTTATAAGCTACATAGCTCCTAGGCAGGATGGGGCTGGGTTTTTCCCCAAGCAGCTGGGAGGGAGGTCCTTCAGAAACTGTAATTGCAGCCTTCCAATACTTGAAGGAAACTTATAGGAAAGATGAGGCAAGACTATTTACCAAACCATGTAGTGACAGGACAAGGAGGAATGGGTTTAAACTGATAGAGAATAGGTTTAGATTGGATACTGAGAAGAAATTCTCAACTGTGAGGGTGATGAGGCCTTGGCACAGGGTGCCCAGAGAAGCTGTGGCTGCCCCATTGCTGGAAGTGCCCAAGGCCAGACTGGACAGGACTTGGAGCAACCTGGGATAGTGGAAAGTGTCCCTGCCATGCCAGGGAGTGGGACTGGATGATCTTCAAGGTCGCTTCCTACCCCATTGTGTGACCTGTGACGAGCTGCTTTGTGCTCACTTTGCCAAAGCTTCATTAAGGTGATGCTGTCTGTGGTGCAAGCCAGGGCCTGCGGCGTGTGAGGGGCTGCTATGTGTGAGGGCCTGCGCCGTGTGAGGGGCTGCTATGTGTGAAGGGCTGCGGGGTGTGAGGGGCTGCTATGTGTGAAGGGCTGCGGCGTGTGAGGCCGTGGGCTCCCCGCCCTCACTTGGCGGGATGAAGCTGCCTTTTGCCCGAAGCCCTTTGTCGGTACCCAGAGCCCTCTGCTCTGTGCCCGGTGCCCGCGCTCACCCCGGGGCTCCCGAACGGAGCTCCACAAGATGGCGAGCGCGGGCGCGCGCGCGGCCCAAGATGGCGGCGGGCGGCGGGGCGCGGGGCCGGAGGCGCTCGGACACCCGCGGCCCCGCTCGCCCGCCCCGGCCACGGCCACGGCCACGGCACCGGGCCCGGAGCTCCGACGACGCGGCCCCAGCAGCCGAACCCGCACAGCCCGCGGGGGAAACTGCCGACACGGCGAGACCGGTAGGAGGGACGGGGCCAGGTGGGATGGTGTGGGAGGGAAAGGCCGCCGGGCCGGGCGATCACAGCGGGGGGATCGCAGGTGATTATTAACAGCTACAATCTGAGCTTCATCATGTGGGAATTATCAGGAGAATTGAAGTAAATTTATCGCCCTTCCCGCTCCTCCCACGACGTTGTTTGTGCCGGTGTAGAAATACAGAGCAGATTTAGCCAATTGCTGTGCCGGGTGATGACAGGCCTGGCACAGTAATTCCCATTAGCATCATCCTTAAGAAAATAAGAACATGGTGATTGACCTCTTACGGTGCTAGTTTATTCTCTGAGCCAAGTGTTTTTATCTTGCTGGTGATGGACTGTGTATTGTGGTTTATGTAAGCTGTCTGCTCCTCTTTTCCTCTCTTTATATGTACTTTATACTAATTACTTTTCTTAGAAGGTTTGGATCAAAATGCCACTTCTGTGATGGAGCCCTTCTGTTCCTTTGCACGTAAAGAGAGGAGGTGATTTTATTCTTTATTTCAAGTGAGCTTTACGATCTTGTCTTTTTTTTCTAACAGTGTTCATCACACGAAGCTGCTGAAGGACAACCTGCAAAGAGGATGAAATATGAAGAAAGCAATCTAAAATCAGAGCTAGAGGGACTCACATGTGAAAGTGGAAACCTTGCTGCGCTGGGGGAAACACCTAAAACATCTGATGAGGATGGAGGTTCAGAAGATCTAAGAGACAGCAGTGTCATCCAACAGGAAAGAGATGAAAGCATTCCAGAGACTGACGAAGGGAAGCAGGAGAAGGAGCACGGTGTTCCTCAGGAGCCACACACAGTGAAATCCAGCGGTGCTCCATTAAAAATGGGTGGATATCTGCACCACTATCACGTGTTCAGTGAAGAGGAGAGCAGCTGTGGGAGCTTTGACGGGGCCACCTCGGAGGACGCAGAGTGCCCACGGAGGCCGATGTTCCTGGAGCACAGCAGTGGCCTCTCGGATGAGGACAGCAACCAGCCCATGCCAGTGCACCGGTTCTTTGGAGATGTTGAGCTGGTGAGATGATGAGTCTGTTCTTGCTTCAGACCCAGCCCTGGTCTGCTTAAAATTTGCCTCAAAACTCTTGGAGAATTTGGCGAGTATTGTTGGGCCCTGTACCCCAGATAAAACTGTCTCCATCAGAGATTAAATTACTTGCCCAGCTGAATTAATTTCAGGTGTAAAATCTTTCTTATTTAGACTTTTTTGTCCAATTCCATGAGAGGTATTTTTCCTGATAACGACATTATGGAGGCACAGTATTGTTGGCAAAATAGATTTGTGCTGGTCTTTGGTTCTTTACAGAATCATAGAACAGCTTGGGTTGGAGGGATCTTAGAAATCACCCAGTTCCAGCCCTGCTGCATTGGGATTGCTTGGAATGGAAACTGGTTTCTGTCTACCTCAGCTTTTGAACTGACCCAAGGGCCAGAGTGTTACATTGGAATCCCTTTAACAAGCATAACTTTGGGGCAAGTGATGCTGCTGTCTTTTAGGTGTTTCTTGTGGTATTTAGAGAGCAGTGAGGATTTGTTTAGGGAGCCCTTCACCCTCTGCCAATCCTCCTCACAGGAAGGAATGCCAGGCCTGAGGCTGCCCATGGACCTGGTTTGGGGAGGTTCCCCTCAAAGCACCACAACTTTAGCTTTGTGCCACTGCTCCCAAGCTGAGGGTTGGTTCCTGTGTCAGCTGAGGGAGGATGGGAGCTGGAGGTAGGAATTCTGCCTGCACAGACTTTTTTCCTTGTTGATTTGATCTTTTCCCTCCAGCACCTCCCAGCAGTTGTGCTCCCGAGTGTGACGAGGAGCAGGCGAGAAGCCAGGAAGCTCCATTTCATTGCAAAGGAAGATGATGAAGAGGAGGAGGAAGAGGATGATGTCTAACAACAGACTGTAAACAAATTAAACCCTTCTTCTTTCTCTTTGTGACCACATGGCAATGGCTGTGTCAGTAACCTGAGGTGTCTGTTTGCCTTTTCTCAGGGAGAGAATTGGGAGAGTTTGTTTTGCTGGAATTGGCAGATACAGTATTCCAGTGATTATCTGGGGCAAATACTGAATTTTCAGTGATTTGGAAATAAAGTACAATTGAGCACTTTACCACTGATGTTTAAGAAAAAACCCCAGGGAATAGAGAAGTTCTTATGGCTTTTTCGTAAATTTGAGCCTCTATCTTAAAAAAGTATTTGGTTTCACTCCTTTTTTTGCAAAATAGTCAGGAAAAGGATGCTGGAGCAAGGTTCTTTTAATTCTGCAATGTCTGTGGCATCCAGGTAATCAAGGAGCCAACTGACTCCCTGGTACAAAGAAGGTCAAATGTCTTCCTTGTGTGGGTTGTTTACACCTAACCCAGGACCAATTAAAGCTCTAAAATGCAGTTCTGCTGGCCAAATGAAATGCAGGATGTCAGAGTGGATGCAGTGTGCTCATCTCTGCGAGTTCAGCACGTTTTCATTGCACGTCAGCTCCCCAAACACCCACCCCATGGTGCTGCCTCCTCCCTCCACCTGCTGCTCTAAGTGTTGTCCTTCCTTGATTTCCAACTGGTTTCCAGCAGGGATTTTGGAAACAAATGCTTTGGTGGTGATCCACAACAAATACCTTCCCTTGGATTTGATGGGCAGGGCAAGATTGCTGAGGCTGTGGGGCAGCCCCCTCTGCATGTTTAAAAAAAAACAAAAGGAGCAACCTCAGCCAATTCCAGGAACTGTTAATTCACCCAGTGTTTGTGGGAATATTTCTTTGAAAGTGTGATTATGCAATAAGCTTCTAGATATTTATTGTTATAGCTCCTTCTATGTTTCTAAAAATAGAGAGAAAATGTTATCAGCAGATGGTTTAAATAAATATTAATTTCTACAGCTAGAGCTTGTTAAACATTCAAAAGTTGTAAGGCAAACAAATTGTATATGTATGGCATGGTAATGCATTCCCATTTCCACTCCAGCTGATGCATTGTTTCTGTCAAAGATATTTCTTGGCTCCTTTTCACTCTAATTCTGTAATGCAGAAAAATCCAGATTTTTAAATTGCATATTCATAGTTCCAGCCCAGCTCTGTGTTGCAGCAGCTCCTCCCAGCATTCCTTCAGTGCTGTGTTTGCTGCTGGCTCTTTCTAGCAAACACAGTTTCACACACAGACATTCATTTCACTTGCAAAATTGCATTTTCAGTTTGGGGGACATGTGCCACACAGGTGACACTGGGTTTGTCACCAGAATCCTGCCAGTGCCCTCCCCAGTATCAAACAGTGCAGGAGGGGGAAGCTGGAAGGATCAAGTGCATGCAGTGGGATCAGCAGTCCTGTGTTAAAAATGCACCTCCTTGATTTTCAGACTGCACTGTTTGGGAGGAGACTGAGTTTGTTGTTTAAAGTAAATCCATATTCTGTGTAGCAAAGCTTCCAAGACCCAGTAATTTGGGGCTCAGGCAGAAATATAATTTCCACGCAATTTCATGTAGACTAACTGGTCCAGGACCAACACTATGAAGGAAAATAGAACTTTTTCTAGTTATTTACAGAGCAGTAAGTAGCTGGTGCTCAATTCATAAACACATTTCCCTTCATGCTCTATCACACCTGAATAATGTCTTGTGCACCTTCACGTACGCACACACACACACAGATATGGGGGAATTTTTTTTATTTAAAATGTTCACATGATTTACATTGACAATCCCAAAAGTTCAGTTGCTATCAGCTGGTATTAAAAAAAAGAAATTCAAGTAAAAAATTGAACTATTCCTGATTTGTTTGCCTGAGGTAGGAAATGTTTTACCAAAGCAATATTCTCCAAGGCAGTGGGTAAACATTACTGTAAACATGATCATTATAGCTGTCCTTTCTGGTGGTGTATCAAGTAAAACTCTCAAGCTGGAGGCAGAAAGTGTTAGAAAGGAGAGGGAAATCAGCAGGGAAGATGGCAAACAAAGGTGGGAAAGGCAAAAAAAAAAAAAGCCATGGTCTTGCTATTCTTTCTAGGAGATGCACATCTGAAGCAATGGCAAAGGGGCAGGTGGGGATGAGGGCAGGGGTTTGGCACAGGTGAGGTGGCAGCTCTGCTGCTGAACCACCTTTGGAATTCCTGAAGCTACCTGAGAAAGGCACAGATAAAACATGATCCTAAATCCTTCTTTGTTTTTTTGGCTTAATCTCCAGAAGAATAGGAGCCTATGAGCCCCTGCAGGTTAGTTTGTAAAAAATGTTTTATCCAAGTTTCATTTCTGTGTACTGTGTTGGCCTTAGATGACAGGGTAGAATCAGAGTCAGCCTCTGGCTCATTTTGTACCTTTATCACACTTGATTTGAGCTTGATTTGAGGGAAGCTTGTAAGGAGTGGGAAGGCAGGAGAAGAGAATTAAATGGGATATTGGAGTGTGCTTTGTGAGGCTCTGGTTGGGTTACCCAGCCACTCTTGTGCCAGGGATTCTCAAATAGTTCTTATTTAAGAAATTGGAGCTATTTAAAAACAACAGACTGACACGATTGAAAAAAGCAGCAGGTCCCTTCCAGAGACAGCGCTAGGAAATCTCATGGGTTTGCTTCCTCTTTCTGAAAATTCTGCTTTTGTCACAGCTGAGGTTATGATTGGTTTTCTTATGGCAAGCAATATGTACGAGTTTTAAATTATCCAGGGTAAACAGCAGCTGATAGAAGTATTCCCAGTTCACTTCTCTCCCGTCTCGTGTTTTGACAGCTTCTGCCAGTTCTGGGACAACAGCACGTTTCTTCTCAATTCTTGGGGATACAAAAGAGAAGACAATATTGCCATCAGGAGTTTTTTCAGAATAATCAAGCCTCCATCTTCCTTTCAGAGCCAGGCAGAACTGCAATTCTTTCTCCATTACTAGGCATATGATTTTTTTTTCCCCCAAGGAAATTAGTTTAGCAAATCTTGTTTGCTTCACACCAGCATTTGAAATGGTTCAGAGGGGATTTTGCTGGAGAGGAGAATTCACACGGATAGTTCAGTGAGGAGGGGTTTGCTTCCATACACAGAAAATCTGCACAGAAGCAAAGCAGCTAATGAGAGGCAGCATTTCATCTGTCTTCAGGGTTTTGTTCTCACAGCAGCTGCAGCATCCCAGCACCTTTTCTCACCACATATTCACAGCAGGGCTGACTGCACAGCGGGGGGAAGGGACTAAGGCTGAACCTTTCTGGCGAAGCTGAAGGCCACAAAGCAGGTAGGTCAGGATTAACACTTTGTACGTACATGTGGTCGAGATTCCAGGTGCTGAAGAGGATCCTGCTTTCCCTGTTGCTGTAGGGGTTGATGGAATGCTTACACGGGCAGTCATCTCTGTCAAAAGGTCCCTGTGAAAGGTGTCACACTCGTCACCCCAGAGAGATCCTGCACCCACATTCCCCCCAGCCTGGCACTGTACCCAGGAAGCTGTTTCCTTCCTCTGATGTTGAAGGGGCAATGGGATCAAACTGATAAAAGGGGAAGTTTAAGTCAGATATATACAGAAGAAATTCTTCTCTGTGAGGCGGTGGAGCCCTGGCACAGGGTGCCCAGAGAAGCTGTGGCTGCTCCATCCCTGGAAGTGTCCAAGGCCAGGCTGGATGGGGCTGGGAGCAAACTGGGCTAGTGGAATGTGCCCCTGCCATGGCAGGGGTGGAATGAGATGATCTTTAAGGTCCCTTCCCACCCAAACCATGCCATGATTCTTCAGGAAGGCTGCAGGTACCTGACAGGAGAACCACCCCTCTGCAGTGCACAGGCGTGCTGCCTCCTCCTCCTCCCTTCTGTCAAAGTAGCACCCGTTGTACTTCACAGATTTCAGTTTATCTGCCATCAGGTCGATTATCCCTCTGTAGGCATCTCGTGCTGCAGGATGAACGTTTGAAATAAAACCAGTAACCTAGAGGGGGGAAACCCAGCAATCACTCCTCTGTTCCTGTGGCAGCCCGAGGCTCTTTTCTACAAGCACAACTGTAGAAATACTTTATATTCCTGCAGCTACAGAATTACTGTTACAGCTTGACATCATTTACTTCAACAGAAACTTTTACCTCTCTCATGTAGCCCCGCATTCTGCTCTCACAGCTATGCCGCAGGTAGCTGGATTTGTTCTTGAACCGAGACTCCAGTCCTGGAGGGAATGAGATTATTTTGTACCTCAGCACAGCTCCTGCCCAGCTGGGAGCTCATGCTGGCTTTCCATTAACTCAGGTTGCACAGGTTTTTTAATTTCCTATTTTTATTTTACTGGTTCAGGAGTACCGTGCTCTTAAGCACTTAAAAGGATGCTGTAGAGCATCTGCTGAAAAAGCAGGAGCTGGTGTTGTTATGTTTCTTGTCACTCTGTATATGTAGAACACCAAGAAATTGTGAAAGGAAAACAATTGTTGGGGAAGAACTGCAGTAATGGCTTGATGGCTTGGGAATGGAAAGGGAAACTAGCAGATTATAAAGAGAACATAAAGCTGGCAGAGATGTCCCAGTTATCCATATACTATTAGCAAATCATTAAACATCATAAATGCAGATTTATATTAATGGGGGAAAATGCATTCCAGAGCTATCTTTATTAAACCGATAGGGAACCATTAAAAAAATCAAACATTTTAGCTTTGATACTAATCTACTAACACATTTAGCTTTAGATACTAAATGTGCATGTACTTTACACAAACCTAAAGACAAGTGCTAATGGAAGGGATAACTAAAGCCCTGACCCAGCACCCAATCCCACCAGCCAGAAGAGCTCCCAAACTTTGCTTTAAGAGCAACAAAACTGACAGAAGTGACTTTTCAGAGCAGAGCAAGAGCTGGGATTCCCGTAGCAGCTTCCTACGGCAACAAACGCGCCTTCAAACCATTTCTTATCATCCTCCTTGTCCTCGGCCAGGATGTTTTCGCTCAGGTTGTGGATGAGATCCGCCAGCAGCTTCTGCCTGTGGGGAGCCCGCTCGTCCGTCAGCAGCCTCCGCGCAGCCTCCACCACAGCGCCCTGCTGGCTGCAGAACGCGGCCAGGAGCCGCTCGATGTCGCTGGCACCTGGGGCAGGTGAGGCGGCACCGGCTGAGCCCCCGCGGCCGGCGCTGCCCCCGCGCCCCCCGCCCGGCCCCGCCACACTCACAGCCCCGCCAGCTCTCCCCGGGGCCCAGCAGCACCAGCTCCGTCTGCGCCGGCAGCGCTCGGAAGTAGCTCTCGGTCAGCTCCGTGCCGTCCTCGTAGAGGCAGAGGCGGCTGCCTGCCAAGGGAAGCTGCCCCACGGGCGGGTGAGAGCCCGGCTCCGGGCGGGTGAGAGCCCGGCTCCGGGCGGGTGAGAGCCCGGCTCCGGGCGGGTGAGAGCCCGGCTCCGGGCGGGAGAGGAGAGCCCGGCTCCGGGCCGGTGAGAGCCCGGCTCCGGGCGGGTGAGGAGAGCCCGGCTCCGGGCGGGAGAGGAGAGCCCGGCTCCGGGCGGGTGAGGAGAGCCCGGCTCCGGGCGGCCCCGACCGCAGCGGCTGCAGCTCCGCACGCGTCTCGGCGGGCAGCTCCAGCCCCGTCCCGGAGCTGCGGAACTCGCTACTCCCGGTCCCGCCCAGCATCGGCAGATTCGCCCGCATCTGTAAGCAGCATCCCAGCCTGGTATCGTCCCGTCCCGTCCCGCACCGTCCGCAGCCTGGTCCGCCCCGCACCTGCAGCAGCCGGCAGCCCTTCCTCAGCAACCCGCGCAGGCTCCCGGCCGCCACCCCGAACTTCTGCGGGTTGTCGCACCCGCGCAGGCGGAAGGGCCGCAGCGGCTCCTCCATGGCCGGGCCGGGCCGGTGGCGCTCCCCGCCCGGAGCCGGTGTCGGTGTCCGGGCCGGGGCCGGGGCCGGTGTCGGGGCCGCCCCGCGCAGGCGCCGCGGGGCCGGCGGGGCGGTCGCGCCTGCGCGGCGGGGCCGCGTTGCCATGAGAGCGGCGATGGCGCCGCGCTGAGCCAGGTGGGGCCCGGCCCGGCGCTTCCCCCCGCGCCCCGCTCTCCCTCCGCCCCGGGGACACCCCCAGGTCCCGCCAGGCTCCCCCGTGCTTTGTCCGCCGCCCGGCCTGGCTGTGCTTCCAGAGCGGTGCGGCCGGGACCCTTCCGGGCCTGCGCCGCCTGCGGGGTTGGGGCCGGCGAGGGGAGGGAGGGACGGGGCCGGTGTCGGTGCCATAACGCGGCCCGGGGTGGGCAGCGCTGCTCCCGGTGCAGCAGCCGCGGTGGGTGTGTGGCTTTCCCAAAAAGACTAAACTGACCTTGTAGTTTGCTTTTTGTTCGCCTGAGTCAGATACCCAGCACATGGTGCAGCTACAGGTTTGGTACAGGTTGCTCGTGTATGCATTTGGAACTCTTAGTTTCAAGGTCCATCTTGGGTTAGCAGGTTTAATTTATTGGAGATTGCTCTGCAAGTGATCTAGATCCTCGTTTTGCTCAACAAAAGGTTAAAAGATCAGTTAGATTGACTGATGATTTATCTTTTGGTCTATATTGACTGACCCACGCCTAAAGAACATTTACTGTGCCAATGTTAATTAAAGGGAATATATATTTGCACTCATCATCTACTGACTGGCCTCAGGATGCAATTCTTTGATTGTAGTGCCTCAGTGGGTTTTTGTCACCCTTCCAGGGATGAGTCTAAGCTTGAAGGCCGTGGCTGTGACCAGCTCACCTGCCCAGGATGCCACACAAGATCGGTTTCACGGTGGTCAGTTCGTCGGGACACGAGGATGGGTTCAGTGCTCGGGAGCTGATGGTTCATGCACCGACAGTGAACGGGTGGCGCTCGCCCAGGTACTGTGAGGGGATGCCCTTGGAGCACTGCATTTCAGAAGCACCAAGTTTAAAACGAGTGGCAGATGTACCGTGCATGGTCAGAGCAGTTTGCAGTATCCCAAACCGAACTGATAAAGCAAAAAAAGTTACTTTAATCCCATGGAACCCTCATCCTGGGGGAGAAAAGCACCTTGATTAACACCTAAAAGCACTGCATTGTATTTAAATAAAGTCCTGGAAAATGAAAATGTTTTGTTCTTGGCAGTCTTGGAGTTTGGCTTAGTGTGAAAAATCCATTTGACGTCTTCTAAACATGTGTGGGGCACCTGAAGATATGCACGCAGTAAAGGGAAGGGAAAAGTGTTTCCACTCTACTCTTGGGATTCTGACAATATTTACAATATTAGCTTACAATTAATAACTTGAAAGTTCCATGATTAAACATTGCTCAAGTTGGAAGTGAAATATGCTTTAAAATGATGATTGAATTCAGAAACTGTGTCTGTTTCAGGCTCTGTCAGTACCCCCAGGAGATCACCCTGCAGCTGGTGGAGAGGTGTCGGATCCGGAAGCTGCAGCTGCTCGCTCACCAGTACATGATTGCCAGCAAAATTGAGTTCTACATCAGTGAAAGTCTGCCTGAATACTTTGCTCCCTATCAGTCAGAGAGGTTTCAGAGACTTGGGTGAGACAGAAAGTTCTGGATCAGTTCATTGCTGTAATCAGAAAAGCTTCAGGGGGAAATAACACTCAGTGTGGGTTATGGGTGATGATGTGTGAGCAGCTGGGAGGTTCTGGACTTGTGTGGATCTGTGACAAAGCTGGAGATGCAGGTGAATTGCCTTGCCAGGTGACAGCACACAGTTATTTCAGTTGTGAGGTTATGAGGGGGGTTTCACAGTCGTTTCAGTTATGAGGGGATTTTAGACCCCACCTGAGTGTTTGGATGTATCCTCTGCTCATGTGTTACGTTTTCCTTCCCAGTTATGTCCCTCTCTCAGACAATGAGAAGACTGATTTCAGAGCTCGAGAGTTGAAATCTGTGTACATGGATGCAGTTGGCCAGTACCTGAAGCTGATTTTCCATAAAAATTATGTCAATAAATACAACTTGTATGGGCAGGTGAGTTAGAAGTCCTTACCTGGTAACCTAGGTGACACTTCATAGTAAAGAGCAGACACAGAAATCTGCTCCCTTGATTTATGGAAGCAAAAAATGTTGGTTGAAAGCTCCTGTGTTTATTTAAGTTTGTTTTAAAGCACAAAACACAAATAACAGGTTAGAAGTGAGTTGGGATCAGGTGGATGCACCTCATCCAGAACAAAGGAGTCAAGGGCACATTCTGTCACTCTTGTTTGTGCTGAGGTTTAGCCCACACAGCAGGGTCTGTGTTGAGGATAAGGAACTCCCTCTGAGAACAGCTCTGGGGTCACGAAGGCACTCTGAGTGTTTTGGAGGACGTGTTGTGGCATTAAGTGAAGGTGTTGCACAGCCAGCATGGTGCAGACACACAAACACCTGCTGAGTTCTGCTGGGACTCGTTTCAGACCATGGGGTTGTAGATTTGGTGATACATCTTCAATGGAGCAGGAGGCACATTTAGCACTCTGCTTCTCTCTGCTTCCATATCACCCTCCTGACCACAGGCCCCGGTTTTTATTCCAAGAAAAGAGGAATGAGCTTACACATTTCCATTTTCTGTGAATTTCTGCAGGTTGCCCTGGTAGCTGTGAACATCATTGGGGATCCAGCAGCCTATGGCATCGACAGCATGAGCAGTGTAAGTCCAAAGCATCCCTGTCCTTTTACTGATGCTCCATTTCTTCAAGTACAGGTTCCTGGAGTAATGGGATGAACCTTTCTTGTGCCAATTCTTCAGCAGAGCTGTGTTGCATTAATTTATTTCTAATGTTCTCTTGAAGCAAGAAAGTTGAGCCTAATGTGGGAATACAAAAATTAAAATATAATAAATTGGGACATTTTCATTTTCATTGTCTCCAAGTTCTCTTGCTTCAATGTGCCCCAAAGCACAAGTGCTTTATGTTGCAAAACTGATGTTGGTTGTGGCAAGTCAGAATTCTGTCTTGAACACACACCTGGTGTTGGTGAATGTGCATTAAGATTTTCTTTTTCCACCCTTCCAAAGCTTTCCAGAGAGAAGCTGATAGATCACTACTTGGGAATTAAATTGGATGACCCTGCCTTAGATGGAACTTACCTTGGGTAAGTTTGTTCTTTGCATGTACCCTGGCAAAACCTCTGCTTGATATAAAGCAGTTGTTGATCTCTGTGTTTTGTTAATTGTTAATTCCCTGCTAATGAAAAGAGAAGCCTGCCTTATTGTGGTTTATTCATTCTCTGCCTTCAGGAAACTTGACTCCATTTCACCTCTGGATGATTTGGCCTTTGACATGTACCAGGACCCAGAAGTGGCTCAGATAATCCGGAGGCTGGATGAGAAGAAGAGGGAAGCTGTGCGTCTGGAGTGCTATGACCATGCCAAGAAGCTCAAACAGGCCATTGCAGACTTGCAGAAGGTGCTGTTGGAAGATCTCTGACATCTAAGTGGAGCAGAGCTCCAGTGGCCCATCAGGAATCACAATGATTTTCTTTGTGTGGAATCATAATGATTTTCGATATATTTCCCAAAAGATTAATTTTAAAATCAGATAGCTTGATTGAGTAATTTCCCTGCAAGCAATGAAACAAGTAGAGTAAGGTGGTTCCAAGAAATGCTCAGTAAAGTGATTCCAAGAAATGGAATGTTACATTTCCAAGAAATGTTCAGTGAGGTGATTCCAGGGTGATTTGTACCAATCCTAGGTGGGCGAGCGACTCGGCCGGTACGAGGTGGAGAAGCGTTACGCCGTGGAGAAGGAGGATTATGACCTTGCCAAGAAGAAGAAGGAGCAGATGGATGAGTACAGGCTGAAGGTGTACCAGCAGCTGGAGCTGCACGACCTCCTGGATGCACAGCTGCTGGTGGGTGCTGTTAGGCCAAGCTAACAGGGTGTTCAAATAGAAATGGCACAGCAGCCAAACTTCATTCACAGGTTAAGGGAAATTTTGAGATTTACTAAAGCATTTCAGTTTTCTCTTTGGATTGTGGATTTCTTCAACCTAAGACTCTCAGTGTGGTGTTTTATGAACATGCTTAGTTCTCCACAAATCCCATTAAACTGTTGAGGTCTCAAGAAAATGGCATTAGAATCCTGAATGTTGTGCATAATTCCAAGACTACCTGATGCAGATTAATAAGGTACTTTCCCATATTTTGGAGGGGTAGAGGAGGCTTAGGATGGTATCAATGCTAACCATACAGAATCCATGTGATTTTTTTTATATCCATATGGTTATGTAATGTGCTCAAAACAGGAAATTTTATAATCTCTCCACACATGCACCCACACAGAATTATTTTCTGACTGTTTCATAAAATTGCATTCAGTGGGAATGATGACACACCTGTGAGCCAGGTTCACCTTTTCCTTGAAATCACCAGAAGCCCGTTGACAGAGTTGTAGCTGTACTGACTGATTTTAGCACATTTTTAGCCTTGCTGTAAAAATCTTCTTCCCTTTCTCAGATCCGAAAAAATGAGTTGCCCTTGGGATCTGTGAGTGGCACTGAGAGCCCCCAGAGCTCCCCTTCTGAGCCTGCAGACCCACGCCAAGGAGAGCCCCTGAGGGCAGAGCCTGTGCTGGAGGAGCAGTTGGTGGATCCCACTTCTTCTGAGCCTGTTGTTCCCTACCAGTCCCCTCTTTCTCCTCAGACTCAGCCCACAACCTCCAAGGAAGTGTTTTCCAAGGAAAATGTGAGTAGTGTTCCTTCTGTTAATACAGAAACCTGTCAGAGCAAACAATCTGAGGTCCAACCTTCCAAATAATGTGGTTATTCTCATTGTTAACTGGGGGGTGATGCTGCTTTGATGTGAGAAAATTGCACTGAGGTGAATCCAATTAGTGATAAAACCACTTCACATCTGAGTCTTTTCCAGAAGAATAAATTTTATTTTTTCTGGTAGGTTGAAGTTTTAC